CGCAGCGGCAGCTTCTCGTGGCCCACCAGGCAGGTGAAGACGGCGCCGGCGTCCCAGGCGCGCGCCGGCACGGTCAGCGTGCTGACGGCGCCGTAGACGGGCCCGCGGCCGCCGGTGCCGGGTTGCGGCCGGGGCGGGGAGGTGACGGCGAGCTCCGGTGGAAGGGCTCGGCCGTCCTGGAGCCACCGGACGAGGATCTCCGGGGGGTTGAAGTCCAGCGCCAGGCAGGTGAGCGTGGCCCAGGCGCCGGCGCGGAGCTGCTCCGGCGGCGGAGGGAGGAGGTAGAGGGAGGGCGGAGAGGGGGAGGTCACTGGAAAAAAAGGGATTTTTGGGGTGAGGTTTGGGGGTTTTGGGGTTTTGGGGGGTTTGGGGTGAAATTCCCGGTTTTTGGGGCGAAATTCCCGGTTTTTGGGGCGTGGTGTTGGGGTTTTCGGGTGTTTGGGGGCAAATTTTAGGGTTTTTTTTGGGTAGAATTTTAGGGGGTTTTGGGTCAAATTTTAGGGTTTTTTGGGTAGAATTTTAGGGGGTTTTGGGTCAAATTTTAGGGTTTTTTTGGGTAGAATTTTAGGGGTTTTGGGGAAATTTTAGGGGTTTTTTTGAGTAGAATATTAGGGTTTTTGGGGGAAATTTTAGGGTTTTTTTGGGTGGAATTTTAGGGTTTTTTTGGGTGGAATTTTAGGGGTTTTGGGGAAATTTTAGGGTTTTTTGGGTAGAATTTTAGGGGTTTTCTTGGGTCGAATTTTAGGGGTTTTGTGGGTGGAATTTTAGGGCTTTTGGGGAAATTTTAGGGGTTTTTTGGGTGGAGTTTTAGCGTTTCTTCGGTCAAGTTTTAGGGTTTTTGGGGAAATTTTAGGGGTGTTTTGGGTCAAATTTTAGGAGTTTTGGGGAGATTTTGGGGGGTTTTTTGGGTGGAATTTAAGGTTTTTTGGGTGGAATTTTAGGGGTTTTTTGCGTCGAGTTTTAGGGGTTTTGGGGAGATTTTGGGGGGTTTTGGTGTGATTTATGGGGAATTTGGGGGCATTTT